AATACACACACACACACGCATAACACACACACACACACGCATAAACACGCACACACACACACACACACACACACACACACACACACACACACACACACACCTCCACCCAGTTGGACAGCCAGGCGCAGTTGGGATCCGTGTTCTCCACGGTGAAGAGCACTGCCAAGAATCACACACGAACACGAATGCGTGAGTGTCAATGCAGCGTCACACACGTAGTTCCAAATGCACAATAGCTCACGATGCAGCCGTGTTGTCGACAGGGCACCTCACAGCGCATTCACGAAGAAGAGCATACCGTTGCGGGTGGGCACAACCGTGCCTTCTGGCACGGCTTTGATGAGAAGTGGAAGCCTGCCACCGTGCTTCTTCAGGATGTAGCGCCAGCCTGTCACGCCACATGCAGCATAAAGGACGCAACAATACAGTGTGAGAGCGATATGTAGATAGACAGAGAGGCACACAGGCACACAGGCACACAGACGCAGAGACACAGACACAGAGACACAAAGGTACACTCACACACACACGCAGTGATGGCATCAGTATGATTCCACTACGTTTGGTTGCTTGTGGGCAGACTGCGAACCTTCTTCGTTGAAGATGCTGCCATTGCCAAAATGAAGCTTCCACAGCTCCTTTGCTTGCTGGATCTTCTCCTCAGTGACGACTTGACCCACCAGCCATTTCTGCGTGTTGTAGTACAAGCATGTGAGAACCGCCTCAAGGCCTCCGACAGTGCCGTCGCACAGCAAGCTACCAGGCTGTACAGTTGATACAAACACGTGCACACGTGTACACACACGCGCACACACAGGCACAGACACAGACATACCCACACACAGACACATACTCACAAACATACCCACCCACAGACACATACCCACAAACATACCCACCCACCCACACACACCCACCCACACAGACACATACCCACCCACACAGACACACATCCCCGATGCACCTTGATGAGGTACTGGAGGCCGAAGAAGACGGTCTCTGAGAACTTTCCACCGCGACTCTCAAAGTAAGAGTACACGCGCTCCGTCTTTGGTGGGTACTGCAAGTGGTGCGAGACCTGACATACGCCCAAACCAGCAGCACAGAGTGCACACCAACGCAGGGCCAAGGTGATTTGATGAGCAAAGCTTGAAATTGAACGAACATAGCGTCTCTCACATTCCACGACACTCAACAAGGGCAGGGCAAAGCACGGCGCTGTTCGTGGAGCGTTCCCACAGCCTCCTCCCACCACTACTGCCAAGCAAACCTTGTACGAGTCTGCACAGAGCAGAAGGTTGTCGTAGCAGGTGGCCATCTCTTCGCTTGCTGGCGCTGTTCCTTTTGTGCTTCAGCAGTGTGTTCTCGGTGCTCCCCTCACTGCTTGCCTGCCTGCTGAGCTGTCGTGGGTGTTGTGGGCGTGTGTGGGTGTCCGTTTGTTGCAAGCAAATGCTTATGTGGGCAGGCGTGTGTGTTTTCGGGGGTTGGTGCGCGGTGTGGGTACTGACGATTCGTGAATATCTTCATGGCAAATTCTCACAACAAAAGTCACCAGTTGACTGCTTGGCGTTTGGTGTGTCATGGTTTGTTGTTGTGCTTTGTTTGGTGTGTGTGTTGCTTTGATGTTTTGTGATGTGTGTGAGACTTGTTGTCTGACAAGTGGCAGCCCACGTCACTGACCGCGGTAAGTTTACGGTGTGGTGGTGTGTGTGGTGGTGTGATGTGTTTGTGTAAGTGTGTGATGTGACGCACTGTCACATCAGCTTTGCACTCATCAGAACAAAGAACACCTGATCAAACATCCTCTGCAACACACTCGACAACAGTGCTCACTTGTCGCTCTGTGTTGCTTGAATGGATCGTCTTGTCGACCCTCCCCCCACCCACCTTTTTTGTTTTGTTGTTCACCCCTTCGACAAAACACTGCACTCGACAGAAGAAGCTAAGCAATCGACAAGCAAGCAAGCCAGCAGCCCGGCTTGCTGGTCCTCGCTCGCTTGATTCCCTGTGTTGCACCCCCGCCCTCTTCTTCAAGATGTCGGGGATCGCATTCACAGAGCAACAGCCGAGAATGATGCAGCAGCAGCAGCAGCGGCGGCCGCAAGCTCCACAGCAGCAGCAGCAACAACAACACCCACCAGCTCAACAAGCACCACTAGCTCCACGATGGGCGCCACATTTCAACGCACGTCCGGCGTTTGGTGCTCCTTGGATGTCTCACCCACGGCAGTACAATCAGCAGCAGCCACCAGTGACTCGACACGTCACCCAACAAGCACCCTATCATCAAGCACAGCCTCCACAGCAGTTTCTACAGTTGGCTGCACAGGGTGTCCCGCAGGTACAGCATTTGCTGCATCATATGCGCCTGGGCCGTCACATGCAGCAGCAGCAGCAGTATGCGCATCAAATGTACCACCAGCAGCAGCAGCATCAGCATCAGCCCCAGTCACAGTCACAGCCGCCACAGACGCTTGAACAGGCCATGCCGCACGAGCCAGGCCCGGGGCCCTCGCAGCAGGCGGTGTCCCCAGCAAGCTCTCGTGACCAACACACGGACCCTCGCGGGTGGTACGCGCACTCCCCTCCGCAAGTGGGCAAGCCAGTGCCGCCTCTCATGGACCCACCATCAACGCAAGCAATGCCATCAATGGCATCAATGTCATCCATGCCAGCAATGGGCGTGCTGCCCAAGCTGGACGACACATTGGCCAAGACGGTGCAGCAGGCGAGCCTGCCCATGCTGCTGGCTACGCAGCCACCGTCGCTGTTTGAGTGCACGCCGTCGCTGACGTTTGGGCAGCGCACGGTGCAGGATCCCGAGGCCATGACGGAGGACGAGCTTGAGAGGGGTGACCTCACCTTGGAGGAGCCCCGCACCGTCACCATCACCAACACCACGCCGCAGCCACTCACGGTACCCAAGCCCTGCCTCGATGTGTGCGTACGTTTGTGCTGTGCTGTGCGTGTTTTGTGTGTTTGTGTGTTTGTGTTGTGTCGTGTGTGTATCTGTGTATATGTGTATATGTGTGTGTGTCTGTGTCTGTGTCTCTCACTCACCTGCTCACACACACACACACACACACACACACACACACACACACACACACACACACACACACACACACACACACACACACACACACACACACACACACACACACCCTCTTCTCTGCCCTGCAGGTGCTCAGCATTGCTGCGTATGCGCGGGATTTGCCTGTGGAGTGGGATGCGACGGTGCTGCCATGTGACCTCGACCCAAACGAGTCTCTGCAAGTCACTTTTCGCCTGCAGTACCCGTACAAGGAGCCTGACGAGGCGCCCCTGGACACGACGGCTGCGCTGCCACCGCTCTTTGAGGGCACACCGCCGCCCTGGGTGCTTGACCGCATGCAGCTTGGCATCAAGGCCGGCTTCATCGCCGTGCACGCCGTCACGTGCACGGATGTGCTGCTCGGCACGTCGCCGGCGTTGCTGCACACGCGCGCCATCCCCTTCAGCGTGTGCTTCTTCGAGGATGTGCCCGTGAGCCTCGACCTGTTTGCCATGGAGCATGTCCCCACGCACCTGCAGGCCCTCACCACCGTGCACATACCCCAGCGCATACAGCTGCAGCGGTCAGCGATCCGCAACATCCCTGACAGCCGCACCTTCGACCCGTACCGTTTCCTGGACCACCACATCACGGAGGATGCTGTGAACGATGCCCTGGCACGGCTGACCTTCCTCGTCACGCAGCAGTCGAGCCATCACCCAACAGGGGCCGAGCTGGCAGCGCTGTGCACACGCCTGCGCGCGACGCTGGTTCTGGAAGAGGAGAAGCACCAGTCGCAGATGCAGCAGCAGGCGCGCTTCAACCCCCAGTTTGAGATTGTCGGGGAGGAGGACGATGGTACCGGTGGCGGTGGTGCTGATGCTGACAAGTTGGATGACCTTGATGGCGATCCTGGGCGCCCGCTGCACGTGGACGTGTGTGTGCCCGGCCTGCGTGACAGCCGCCCCCGCCTCCTGGTCGGCGACGTCATCCGTCTGCGGTTTGCGCCGCACGTGCCGGAGTTCACGGCCGTTGTCATTGGCCGCGTGCGCCGGCGCATGAGCGAGGACGAGCCGCCACAGGTGTGGGGCGTCCGCTTTGTTGTCTCGCAGCAGGCGCGCGCGTTCCTGCGCATGCCCGAGGCTGCGATGGTGTTTAGCCACCACGCGTACCCGTTTTCCCTCATGAACGCAGCCCTGCAGGACTATGAGTCCATTCCGCCCAACCTCCTCCTCCCTCAGCCCGAGGTCAGCTGCGTGCTTGCGCTCAGGCTTTGCTTGCTTTGCTTCGCTTGTGTGCTTTGCTTACTTCATTCCCGCTTGTGTGCTTTGCCTAGTTTGTTCTATTGGTTGCTTGGTATGTTTCGTGGGTTGGTTCGTCGTACGTTGCACTTGACGTTTGTCTGTGTCGAGGGTGGTCCGTGTGTTGATGGAGCGACAGCTGGTCAATGGATTGTAACATCTTCAATGCCACCTTGACTCTCCTTCTCCGGTCCTCCGTCCTGTGCTTATCCCAATGTTCGCCCAATGTTCACGCCCGTATCTTCTACTCGTCCCTCACGCCCTTGGCCGCCATTTCACCATTCACCCGCCTCCCCCAACACGTGCGGCATCTGAACCAGGCCACGGCTGTGCTGAGGGAGCAGGATCTGTGCTCGCCCATGGAGCTGCTTGACGAGCGCGTGAATCAAGAGCAGCAACTTGCTGTGCGGGCGGTGCTGACTCGCTCTCGCCGCCTGGTCTCCGGCAGCGTCAAAGACCTCCCGCCCCTCGTCATCCACGGTCCCCCGGGCACAGGTTCGGTCGTCTTCGTGGCCTGGGCGTGTGTGTGTGTGTGTGTGTGTGTGTGTGTGTGTGTGTGTGTGTGTGTGTGTGTGTGTGTGTGTGTGTGTGTGTGGGTGTGTGCGGGTGTGTGTGTGTGTGTGTTGATGTGTGTGTGTTGATGTGTGTGTGGGTGTGTGTGTGTGTGTGTGTTGATGTGTGTTGATGCTGATCTGGCTGAGGTTATTTGTGTTAGGCACGACGTCGCCATTTCATCACTTGCTGACGTAGAACCACACCATTGCACGCCATTGCACGTTCCCTCTCCGCCTCCACCTCCACGTTCACATTCCCCCTTCCTTTTCCCCTTTCCACGTCCACGCCCACCTCCTGCAGGCAAGACGCTGACGCTTGTGGAGTGCATCCGACAGCTGCTGCTTGATTACGATATGCGCAGTCACAAGAGGCGAAAGCACCGCAAGCCCCGCATCCTCGCTGTTGCGCCGTCCAACACGGCCGCAGACATCATTGTGGACCGATTGTCCAACACGGAGGCGGCGTACCCGTCCACCAACATCCTGCGTGTCAACTGGTACCAGCGCGACCAGGCGTCCATGGACCCGCGCCTGAGCGCCACGTTTGCGGTGCCGAGCGCGTGCAGTGCCGGCTACGAGCTGCCGTCTGCGGAGCGGCTGAAGCAGGCGCGCGTGGTGGTGTGCACGTGCGACATTGTTGGCCACCTCTCGCACATCACCGGCGATGCCCATCCGATGCAGGGCTTCTTCACCGACATTCTGTTTGACGAGGCGGCGCAGGCCATGGAGCCCGAGGCGTGGATTGTGCTGCGCCTCGCAAGCGCGGCCACCAACGTCGTGGTTGCGGGCGACCACTGCCAGCTCGGACCGCTTGTCCGCTCACCTGAGGCGGACAGAGGAGGACTCGGCAAGTCGTGGCAGGAGCGCCTGCTGGAGCTGCCGGCATATGCGGACTGCACCAACCCGCTCTTCAAGACCACCCTCCTGCGCAACTTTAGGTCTGTCTTCACATGTTTGTGTGTGTGTGTGTGTGTGTGTATGTTTGTGTGTATGTTTGTGTGTGTGTGTGTGTGTGTGAGTGTGCGTGTTTGTTTGTGTGTGTGTTCGTGTGTGTGTTATGTGTGTGTGTGCGTGTATGTGTGTGTTCGTGTGTGTGTTATGTGTGTACGTTATGTGTGTGTTCATGTGTACATGCATGTCACGTGTGTTTGTATACTTGTGTGCGGGCGATGAGGCACTCGGTGCTGCCTTGCTGTTCTTGTGCTGACTGGCCTTTATGTTTCCCCGCTTGCTATTCTTCCCACACGCGCGCACGTGTGTTCACTGCTGTCCCTGTCCCCTGTCGGATTTGAGCTGTGCAGGTCTCACGAGTCGCTGCTGTCTGTTCCGTCGGAGCTGTTCTACCAGCGCGACCTCATGCACTGTGCACGCCCCGCCACCACGCACGCCGCCATCAACTGGGAGCAGCTTCAACGCCGGGTAATGTTCCACCAAAAGTCTTTTGTGCGTGCGTATTTTGTTGGCGATTGCTTTTGTACACGCGTGTGTGTATGTGTGTGTGTGGTGTGGATTGTGTGGATTGTGGTTGCGTGTGGTCGTTGTTTGTGCCAGTGTGTTGCGTGATTGGTTGAACCAGCGTCTAACAGCACGCCAATTTCTGTGTTGATCCCACATGCTTCAACAACACGGCACTCCAAACCATAACCCAATTCCCACATCACCAGGACAACCCGCTGCTCTTCTGGGGCGTGGACGGCGCCATGCAGACGGACTACCAGTCTGGCTCCCTCACCAACCCGGCAGAGGCCGAGCACATTGCCAAGCTCGTCCGCAGCCTCGGTACGGGGTGTGTGGTGTGCTGTTGTGCACATCGTCTGTTGTGATGTGGTGTGGCGATCAGGGCAATACTCCAGTCCAGTGTCATGTGACATGTTCGTCCCACACCCTTTGCTTTTCTCCATCTGCTGCGTACGTTGGTTCTTACTCACAACACTCGCCCTGACCCTCACACACTGGCCTTGCCTTGTTGCGCCGTCCAGTGCAAGACCCCAACGTGTCCATCGCTCCTGATGAAGTTGGCGTGATTGCGCCCTTTCGCCACCAGGTTGCCCTCATCCGTACGCGCCTGCGCCGCATCGGCCTCCGCACCGTGGATGTGGGCTGCATCGAAGACTTCCAGGTACGGCTCCTGCGGGTGTGCATGCGTGCGTGCGTGCATGTGTGTGCGTGCATGTGTGTGTGTGTGTGCGCGTGTGTGTGTGTGTGCGTGTGTGTGTGTGCTTTTTGACGTTGTATGTTCGGCATCATGTCAATGCCCTTCCTCTGCTCATGTCGTGCTGCTGCTGCCCAACGCCACTTCTCTGCTCGAGCTCTCACACTCTTACACCCACACACATTTAAATACGCACGTACACACTCTTACACATACAAACACACACAACCACACACGTACATGAGTAGGGTAAGGAGCGGGCTGCCATCTTCATTTCGACAGTCATCACGCCTGTCAACATTGACCAAGGCTCCGATCTCGACAAGGCGCCTGTGTTGAACGCGGTGAAGCCCTTCAACGTGGCCATTACGCGTGCACAGGCGCTGCTCGTGGTTGTGGGCCATGCAGCGCGGCTGTATGAGATTGGCCACTGGCGCTACCTTCTCAACCACATCAAGTGCAAAGGCACCCTCAAAGGCACCCTGTGCGAAGGTGTGTGTGTGTGCTCTGTGTGTGTGTGCTCTGTGTGTGTAAGTATGTGTGTGCTTTGCGGTGTGCTTTGCGGTGTGCTTTGTGGTGTGCTTTGCGGTGTGCTTTGCGGTGTGCTTTGCGGTGTGATTTGCGGTGTGCTTTGCGGTGTGCTGTGGATGACGTGCATGTTTGATACCTTGGATGTCGTCGTGGCTCAACAACGCATTGCGTTTTCACACACACACACGCACAAACACACACACACACACACACACGTGTGCGCGCGCAAACAAACCCACTGCACTCACCATCGTCACCATCACCATCCTTGTCATTACCCTTACGCAGAGCTTGAGCCTGAGGTGAGCCTTGGCGCGGGCCGGCGCATCAACCGCGACCCCATCCTCAACCACGACATTGACGACGACGACGATGACGACGTTGTTGGGATGTGATGTGTGAGACACATGACATGACAGCGCGGCTGTGTTCGTCTGCAACACCACAAACCGCAGCAAGCTGTGACTTTTCGTTGATAATTTCAATAAATTTCGATATGCACAGCGCCCTTGAAGAAGCCACGCCAGCCAGCCATTCGCGCTGATGCACTTTCTTTCGCCCAACACAAACACCTCCACGCCCACGAACACCCTGAGTGTGTGTGTGACCAGTAGTTGCTGTGTTTGAAGGAGGCAGGCAGAGGAGCAAGCATAGAGACAAGACCAGACGAGGAGGATGCGGATGACGCTTCTGGGAGGCGTGGCTGTGCTGGCCACGCTTGGCGTGATTGTGCAGGCGCAGTTTGGTGACATTCCCACGTGCACAGACGCGGGCATCGACTCTGAGCAAGCCTGCACTGCTGGCTGTGTCGGCCAGGGACTCACATTCAACAGATATGATGAACTTGACAACTTTGGGCAGCTCTGCTTTTGCACCGATGCCAGCGGGAATCTGATGCCCATCTGCCAGCCTTCCCTCACGCCGCCAACTCAGCCTGGCGGAGGCGATGCGGATGACGATGCAGACGCCGACTGCGAAGCTTCTTGCGCGTACGTGCCGTTTGTCCTGGTGTCATCTTGTCATGGAAATGCATGACCATGTGCTCGTGTGTGTGTGTTTGTGATGTTGTGCGCACACACACACACATAATCACACATGCGCACACGCACACGCACGCATGCATAGTATTCTGCCTGCTTTCGCTGCCCTGCACACAGAAAGCGCTATGCACTGGAGCTGCAATTCACACGATGTATCGTTTCCCATGGTGCATGTTTGCACCCACCTTCTCTCAACAATCCAACTGCTGCTGTCCACGTTGGCCCAACAGGGATCTTGCTGCATGTGGATTCCTGTCGGAGTGTGCCGATGCCCTGCGCTGCGTTGTTGAGAACCACGAGGAGCTCAAGTGTCTCGCAGACCCGACAGCCTGCGCCGATGAATGCGATGTACGAGTGTCATGTTACCCCGCACGTTGTGTGTGTTGCTGTGCCACTGTTTTTTGGTCGTTTCATGTACACACAGACACCCACAGACACACACACACAGACACACACACAGACACACACACACACACACACACACACACACACACACACACACACACACACACACACACACACACACACAAAGAGTTATGCGCCGACCCACTCTCACCCACGCACTTCCAAACTTTGATTCTTGTTGTTGTACTCTTGTGGCATAACACCTCGCCTGTTGTTTGTGGTTTGACTTTGTTTTTCACAGCTGATGGAGAACCCAGCCGCGATCGGCTTGGTTGGTTGCGTGCAAACCTGCGACGCCAACGCACCGCTGTGCACCAGCATCTGCACTGCCCTTGAGCTGTCCTGCAGCCAGGATCCCCTCTGCAAGGAGACGCTTGTGTGCTCGCAGGACAAGATTGCCAAAGAGTGTCTGATGGCCGGCAACGAGTGCTCCGATGACATGATCGAGCAGTTTGTCATGGTACGCGCGTGCATGTGCGTGTGCACATGTGTGTGTGTGTTTGTGTGTGTGTGTGTTTTATGTGTGTGTGTTTGTGTGTGTGTGTGTGTTTGTGTGTGTGTGTGTGTGTTTGTTTGTTTGTTCTTGGGTGACTGTATGTGACATGATTCACGACTGGTGCTGCTGCGAATTGCTCCCCCTCCCAGGGGTTCTGGCATCTTGCCTGCACTTCATCCATTTTGCTCATTGCTTCATCCACCTTTTCCCCTTCAACCACCTCACTCCCGCCGCCCGTGTGCGTCCACACCACCAGGAGTGCAGTGTGGTTGTGCCGCCACCTGTCGCAGAGCACGTGCTCCAGGCCATCCGCTGCAACGGCAAGTGCGACATGATCACGTCCACCGTCAGCAGCACCAACCCCCCGCCCGTGTCCACCACCACTGCTGCCGCTACTGCCTCGACCACTGCTGCCGCCGCGACCACCACCATCTTTGGGCCCGGCTCTGGACCCGTCGGCTGCGCCACCCAATGCGCGTACGTTTGACCATACCATGCGCTGAGAGCGTGTTTGTGCGTGCCTTGTCGCGTGTACGCGTGTGCGCTTGTATGCGTGTGTGTGCGTGCGAGCGCGCGTGAATATGTACGTGTGTGTGTGCGTGCATGCGTGTGTGTGTGTGCATGTGAAGCCACATGCGTGGTTTGATTGTAGTGTTACAGTTCGTACGTCTGACTTCACTTCCTCACAACACACGCTTTTTGTTTTGTCATCTGCCATCTTGCATGCATGTGTCCCCTTTGTATGTGTAGTGACGCCTCCAACTGCATGCTTGGCAACGAGTGTGGACAAAACCTCCAGTGCGCCATCTCTGGTCTGGTCCAGGAGACGTGCGAGGACCCCATGTCCTGCATTGACGGCTGCGTTGACAACGCAGACACTTCCCCTGTACGTATTGTCCCCCCTTCTGTCTCTGTCTCTCTCTCTTTGCGTATGTTTGCTTGTCTGACACATGCACACGCTGATTGCATGCTCGACGCTGCTTGTCAGAGGTTTGCGGTGATGTTACTATTCGTATGTGTGCACTTCAAATGACCACGTTCGTGCTTGACAACATTCATTCAATCCCTGAACCTCACCTCACCATCCACCACCATTGTCACCACCACCACCACCATCATCACCACCACAGTTGACGGATGCCCTCAAGTGCACGGCCCAGTGCTCCGTGCCCGATACGTGCAACGCCCAGTGCCTGCTGCAGCAGGGCATGTGCGCTGCCGATGCAGACTGTCTCAAGGTCCTGCAGTGCGCCGGCGAGTTTATCCGCAACAACGACTGCACCACCCCAACATGCGCCGACAAGTTTGACCAGCTCGTCATGGTTGGTCCTCGCAGATACGCGAGTGTCTCTGTGTGTATGTGTGTATGTGTGTCGTGTGTGCTGGTGCGTGCATGTGCGTGTAGCAGCGTGTGACAAGGCAGCCTTATTTGACAAGGCAGCCTTATTTGATCGTTCAGACTTGCACTGACATGTGTCTTTGGTTCCCGCCCAATCCTTACATGTCGATCCATCCAACGCAACCCCTCCACCTGCCGTTACAGCACTGCGCCGACACGACGGGCGTTGACCCGAGTGTGCTGGCTCAGGTGCAGGTCATGTTTTCGTGCTTCGACGCGTGCACCCCCACCATGCCCACCGCGCCGCCGAGCAACACCACGGACGACGACGGCCCGTGCGGCGCGCAGTGCATCGACGACCTCAACTGCTCCCTCGGCACAGACTGCGCACAGTCGCTCGTGTGCATGGCCACGGGCGCCATTGACCAAGCCTGCAACACCATTGATGAGTGCCGTGGCATCTGCACCCACAACGATCAGCTGGCGGCCGACGTGCAAGCCGTCCAGCACTGCACAGACTACTGCGACTTCACCGCCCGTGCGTGCCCGTATGCGTGCGGGATGGTGACGGACGTGTGCTTTGATGACGACAACTGCCGCAAAGCGCTCTCATGCCTCGATACGGGCGTGGCTGAGGCCATGAACATGAATCTCACTGGCGACGACCTCAACAACGTCATCTTCACCTTCATTGACGTGCGTGTGTCTGCGCATGCGTCTGCCTGTGTGCTTAGTTGTGTGTGTGCTTATTTGTGTGTGTGTGTGTCCATGTGTGTGTGTGTGTCCATGTGTGTGTGTGTGTCTGTGTCTGCGTGTGTCCATGGCATACGTTGTTACAGTTGACCGTCGCCACTATCCCTTGTCTTGTTGCCTGCTTGCATACACGCAGCGGTGTTCCATGGGCAACGAAGCTGTGTACAACGTCATCGACACGATTGGCATGTGCCGCATGCACGACCGCTGCCAAATTGCACCCCAGTCCACCATGAGCACCACAACCACCACCACCCCGTTTGACCTTTGCGCTAACCACTGCATGTACGTACCCTGGCATTGCGGCATGGTTGTTTGGTTGGTTGTGCGCTGGCTGTCCATGTGAGAGTGCAAGTGCGTGTACTTGCAAGGTGCGGTGGGGCGCATTCGTGTGTATCACCTCTTCTCACACCCCCCGCTTGCCCATCATGTCCACTCCGCCTGGCTGCAGCGATGAGCTGTCGTGCCAGCTCGGGACGTCGTGTGCAAAGGACGTTGGCTGCATCGTTGACAACGCCGCTGAGCGCAAGTGTGACGACTTTGAGACCTGCTTCGACGTCTGCGACACTGTAAGACCGTCACCGCAACAGTTTGTGTGTCTCAACATGCCACACACACACAATTGCCGGAGCAAGCACGCATGCACATTGACCCAGTCACATCTGTTCTGTTCTGCATGGCTGCTCCTGTTGCCTTCATTGTGTAAACCCACTCCATTAACTCACTCCATTCTTCGTCTTCGATTCTGTGAACAATGACACACCAACACTGCCACCAGAATCAAGATGAAGACATGGCTGTGCTGAACGTTGCGTCGTGCTTCCACGGGTGCGGGCTGGGCGATGCTGTGGGTCCATATTGCGTCGCCTGCCGCATTGAATCCTTCCTGTGCGAGCAAAATGCCGAGTGCCGCGATGCCGTCGAATGCTTCAAGATGAGCGGGTGCTCCGACCTGGGCTGTGACGGCCGTGGAGCAGACATCCTGCAGGTGTGTGTGTGTGTGTGTGTGTGTGTGTGTGTGTGTGTGTGTGTGTGTGTGTGTGTGTGTGTGCGGTTGGTTGGATTGTGTGTACCGCCGTATGCCATCTTGTTTGCCTGGTGTGGTTTTGTGATGGTAGTGTCGACAACATTGCCCTGCAAGCTGTGTGGCTGATGTAATGTGTTGTGGCACTTGCGTGGGTGCTTCACTTGGCAGCGTGAGAACATCCCTTCACGTTTTTGCTGTCTCTGCTTTCCTCAACATCGATGTTTGTTCCAACACTCATTGCATCACCTCATCATCTCATCATCTCATCATCACCTTTCCCCTCCCCTCCCAAACACACGCGATTCCGGGCAGACGTGCACGAACAACCTCGGCGAGGATGTGGTCAGCGCCGTCATGTCCTCTGTCACATGCAGCACAGACTGCATGGAGCCCACACCGCCACCAACGGGGGATGTGACACGGACGCCAATCGCCACCACCGCCACCGTCAGCAGCAGCACCACCACCACACCAGTCGCCACCAAGACTACAGAAGGCAGTGACACCACTACCACCACACCAGTCGCCACCAAGACTACAGAAGGCAGTGACACCACTACCACCACACCAGTCGCCACCAAGACTACAGAAGGCAGTGACACCACCACTACCACACCAGTCGCCACCAAGACTACAGAAGGCAGTGACACCACCACTACCACACCAGTCGCCACCAAGACTACAGAAGGCAGTGACACCACCACCACCACACCAGTCGCCACCAAGACTACAGAAGGCAGTGACACCACCACTACCACACCAGTCGCCACCAAGACTACAGAAGGCAGTGACACCACCACCGCCACAACGGTCACCAAGCCAGACACCAAGACTACGCAGCAGGGTGACACCACCACGACCACCACGACCACCACCAAGCCAGGTTCCAAGACGACGGCGACTGATGTGCAGTCCACAAGCAGCCAAGCCGTGTCCACCCGAGGCCAGTCCACGCGCCCTACTGGCTCCTCCACAACATCAACTGCAAGTGGAAGCGCAAGCACGGCCTCTGCGATGCCAGCGACCACCACCAGCACCACGGCGGCACCGGCTGTGTCGACGACCACGAACGAGGTGGTTGGCTGCGAGGCGCGCTGCTCTGCGGCCATCACGCGCTGCAGCTTCGACACGACGTGCATCCCACAGCTGGAGTGCCTCATGCAGACGTGCAACGGCCACCCAAGCACCGCGTGCACGCGTGTGTGCGGGCTGGACACGAGCGACACGACATTCGGCGCCGTGCACACGTGCTACTCCGACTGCCTCACGCCCGTCAGCGCAACCGTGCTGCTGTCATCCAACCTCACGTTCACTGGTGTGAGCGCCAGCACCGTCAACTCTGCGCGGGCCGCCGTTCTCGCCGCCATTGAGGACTTTTTGTCGTTCCACCCCTTCTTTATTGCCACGCACGATGCCGGCGCACAGGTGTTGTTTGAGTACGCGGTGCTCGTTCCGCTGGATGTCGCCGATGATGTGCGTGCAGCCATCGTGCGCATGAACCTCAACACGTTTGACCTGCTGACGGCCATCCGTGACAACCTCAGCGCCAACAACGCCACGTCGCTCGTCAACGACTTCACCAACTCGGACGTGAGTGGCAGCGATCCGCAGCAGACGGTGTCCATGGAGCCGAGCACGTCCAACTCGACTGCTGGCGTCACCCTTGGCGGAATCATCGGTATTGCAATTGCCGGCGTTGTTCTCCTCGTCATCATCGTCGCTGTTGTCATGCGCTCGCGCTCCCACTCCAAGCTTGGCGTTGCCAGCGCGTACTCAAACCCGTCTGTGCGCGACCCGGCGTCCACGTTTGAGAATCCGCTGTACCACTCGCACGCGGTGGAGACGGACCCTGACTACGACACGGTCAACCTGCAGGACGGCGGCTTTGGGCACGAGGACGGCATGTACTTTGACGCCGCACCACCCATGGACGAGCCAACTTACGACTCGCACGCTTAGAGTCGCTCTCATTTGCACTGCTCTATGCTTCGTTTTGTTTTGTCTTTTCAATTTTGTTGCTGCTGCTGCTGCTGCTGCTGCTGCTGCTGCTGCTGCTGCTGTTGTTGTTGTTGTTGTTGTTGTTGTTGTTGTTGTTGTTGTTGTTGTTGTTGTTTTGCTTTGTTTCCCCGCTCTCCCTTCTTTCTTCTCCTTCTTCCTTTTGTCTCTCCCCCCCCCCCTTTTTCTTTCTTCCGTCCTCTTCCTGTGCGCTGCTCTTTTCCTCTGCTTTTTTTTCTTTTCTTTTTTTTGTTTGCCTAATGACGATCCAATACATGTTGTCTTTCCTCCCCTCTTGTTCTCCCTGGTTTTGTTTTGCATGTGGTTGTGTGCCTGGCGGTGCTGGTTGCTGGTGTGCTTGGCTCGCACCTCCGCTCGCCCGGCACGCGCGTCCTTGTGTCGGCTTGATTCTCTCTTTTGTGTTATCACTTACCTACGCTCCCTTTGCTTTCGTTGGCTGTTCGCTCTGTCTCCCTCTCTTCTCCGTGGTTATGTTGTGCGTAATTGACAAAGTATTTTTGCGTTTGAAGTGACATGGTTGTGTGCTGTTGGGTTTTCCATGTGTGTATCATAGAAACCAGTGGATTTGCTTGTCTTTCCCACTTTCGTACACGAGCGCATACCGAAGCGAGTCACAACGCAAAGCTGTGTTTGTTTGTTGTGTGTGTGTGTGTGTGTGTGTGTGTGTGTGCGCGCGCGCGTGTGTGTGTTTGGTTGCAGGATCGTGGGCCGCAATCACTTGTGCTTCTTCTTGTCCTCGCGGTTTGCTTTGCCCTTCTGGCCAACGCGCTGGCTCTTCTTCGATTGCGTCTTCTTCACACCTGCAGCCAGCACGCGACAACAATGAAGAGCGTTGAGCATTGCAGTGGTGCTGTGATGACAATGTGCACTTACAAAGTGTGTGAGTGTGTGTGTGTGTGTGTGTGTGTGTGTGTGTGTGTGTGTGTGTGTGTGTGTGTGTGTGTGTGTGTGTGTACGCGCTCACCGCTGCGAGAGACGCCCTGGTTCTTCTTGCGTTCCTTGTTGCTCAGCTTGGACGTGTCTCTGAACACATGCGCGCAGTAAGTAGTGGTGCCACAAATGAGCAGCAACACTGCGAACCACCACGGCAAACCGTCACATACTCACGAGAATTTCACAACGCACAGATCATGACACTGCCACCACTGCCATTACTACCGCGATAGGCAGCAGCACATGCTGTCATCGACATCATTACAACCTTGTGCCAGAGCCGCCTGCCCAATGGCCAGCAACATTCTTCTGCGTGAGCTTGGTGGAGCAGTTGCTGCACTGCTTGTTGTCCACGCTCTGCAAAGGAGCGACAGAGGAGGGGTGGGGGGGGGGGTAGGAGACAGAGCAGCGAGGAAGAGCATAACAGTTGGGAAGCCATGTGTGAATGCGTGCAGCAACTGAGACGGATAGGATAGACTGGCAGACATACAAGCACGACACATACACACACACACACACACACACACCCTTGCACACCTGTTCTTGAGAGCATTTGCCGCAGATAACGCGAGAAGCGTGCTTGCCGTCAATTGCGCCCTCGCACCCGGACTGCTCGTGACAAACAGGACAGGGGAAGGCCAGGCCACAACACGGAAACCGGAACCACCTTCCATACCAATGCAGAGAGGCATACGGCGGTGTGTGCGTGCGTGTGTGTGTGTGTGTGTGTGTGTGTGTGTGTGTGTGTGTGTGTGTGTGTGTGTGTGTGTGTGTGTGTGTGTGTGTGTGTGTGTGTGTGTGTGTGTGTGTGTGTGTGTGTGTGGGGGTGTGGGGGTGTGGGGGTGTGTGCGAGTGTGTATGTTTGTGAATTGACCAACCTCCGGAACATGCACGCAAAAGTGCCCAAAGACACGCCATTCAATCTCCCAAAACGGTACAAGCAACGCGCCTTGCTGCATGAGAGGGGCTGTTGGAGCCATCCCACCCCACTCAATTACTGACTTGTATGACTTGCGGAAGTGTTGGCAGGCACCCTGGCTGGGAAGCGGCTGTCCTGCGCTGATGACGTGGGAGGACTTGATGATGTTGCGGCGTTTCGGTCCGCCTTTCTCAAGCATTTGGCTCCCTACATGTGTGTGTGTGTGTGTGTGTGTGTGTGTGTGTGTGTGTGTGTGTGTGTGTGTGTGTGTGTGTGTGTAGGTGTGTGTGTGTAGGTGTGCAATTGTGGAGGGGGGTTCGAAATGACTTGACAACGACAACATCGGTGCAGCTCGTGCAGACCACAGGGGCACACTCCACGCCACCACGCCGTAGCAACGCCAACACCACTGCAAGAGTCACTGCAAGGTCCACAGCCTTTACCTGGCGCAGGCGGCCGCTGCTTCGCGCCGTCAGCGGTAAAGAACGTCGTGGTGATGACGTCGATTTCAACGGCGAGCTTCTGGTGACAGCGGAAGCACGTGCTCTCACACCGCCGCGCCCGCACCTGACATGGTGATGATGACGATGATGACGATGAGAAATGTAGTCAGTGAACATGCTGGTTTCTTGATGTTGTTGCTTGTGTGTTGGTGGAGGTGTTGCTATCACAAGCGGTAAACGCACCGCCGGGGTCTTGAATTCGACATGAGATGAGCAGCCCATGCACACTCCGTTGAAGAGAACGGAAGGAACATCCTGCACCTGACACTCCTCAGTATCAACATAGCTGGTGGGCGTACATGGTGCATGTGTGCGAGCGAGAGAGAGAGTGTGTGTGTGCATGCGTGCGTTCACGTCTGTAAGTGTGTCTGGTTGGGTGTGTACTTGAAGGACAGGGATTCATGCCACAATGTAACGTCAAGACAAACCGAACAACGGCATCATGTGAGAATGGCCACACACAGAGAGAGAGAGAGCAGCCACATGCGTTCATCCATACAACTGACCCCAAGCACTTGTTGCCTTCGTGCACAATCTGAGGCCTGAACCGCGCGCGCTGAACGGCCTTGCACCTGCAGCACATGGTGCATATGTGCGTGTGTATGTGTATGTGTGTATGCATGTGTGTATGTAAGGGTGTATGTAAGTGTGTGTGTGTGTGTGCATGTGCTACTTTGCCCGCCCACTGAATCTACCCCGTCCCTCACCAACTTATGGTGGCACGAGCCTTACTTTGAGCAGCGTTTGGCGAGACTGCATTCAGACTCGTACACGCCCGAGAGCGACGCGTCGAACGGCGTTGCGCACCGGTTGCACAGCATGCGCAGATTCAGCGTATTCGCCTGGGAGAGAGAGAGAGAGAGAGAGAGAGAGAGAGAGAGAGTGTGTGTGTGTGTGTGTGTGTGTGTGTGTGTGTGTGTGTGCGTGCGTGCGTGCGTGCGTGCGTGTGTGTGTGCGTGTGTGAGTGTGTGAGAGAGAGTGTGTATGTGTGAGTGCGAGTGAAGGGCCACAGAAGAGCAGTTGACATGACAGCTGCGACGTCAGTCTTGACAACACGGAATCATCATTAGCATACGCTTGTACGACAAAAAGCATGCACACATACCCACGCACGCACACGCGCGCGTACACCACCTGAAGTGTTGCTATGTTCCACCAAAGCTTGGTTGTCATGTCAATCTCAAAGCCGCGCTTCTGCGGATTCAACTCAATCTCAACCGGGGCCCTCCGGTCTTCTCCATCGTCGTCATCGTCGTCATCGCTGTTGGTACTGTCGTCATCCGATGAGTAGTCGTCAAGTGCGGGGTTGTAGCCTGGAATCACTTTGCCTGCAGGCACAATGTGGCGTGTCGTGTTGGGACAGGAGAACAACGTTAAGCGATTGTTGTGTGTGTGTGTGTGTGTACGTGGGTGTTTGGGTGAACAATTCTGTGTGTGTGTGTGCATGTGTGCATATGTGCATGTGTTGTGTGCGCTTCGCTTGTCAAATGCTCGGCAGTGCACCACCTCCGGCACACGAATCAACCAGTCACGACCTCTGTCATGCACCCCTTTGCAACACCATAAGCGTGCACCTTTTCGAATGGCCTGCCGTTGCATCTCCTCTTCACGCTGCATCTGAGCGAGTGCGGCCGTCTTGTACTGGTGCATTCGCGTCTCCGCCGCAATCTGCCGCTCCAACTCCGCCTCCTTCCTGCACAGTTACAGGGGCACGCAGTGTGCGTATGTGTGTGTGTGTGTGTGTGTGTGTGTGTGCGTGCGTGTGTGTGTGCGCGTGTGTGTATGTGTGTGCGTGCGTGCATAAGTGTCGATGTGCATGTCAATGGTGCAAGTGCAACGCGGGTGAATAGAAGCGCGTGTATGCAAATTGTGTGCATGTGGATAACAGAACACAGACCAGGAAGCGGCTTGGATTGTGCAGTTGCAAACACTTTCACGGTGCTCAGCAGCATAGACACGCACCTGAGCTGTTCCTCGAGTTTCTTCTGCTGCTGTTCGTATTCCGCTTGCCGCTGGCGCTCCTGGTGAAGTGACGGTGGCAATGCCGCATTCACCATGACAATGTAACACAAGCAAAACAGCCAGTCAGTGCCCAGTCAGCCAGTCAGTGCTCAGCCAGCCAGCCAGTCACACACACACACACAGACACACACACACACACGCACACACACACACACACATACACACACGCACGCACGCTCACGCACGCACGCTCACACGCACGCACACACACACACACACACACACACACACACACACACAGAAGCATCTGCACCTTCTCGTCGAGCTCGGCGATGAGTTTGCCTTTGTTGATCAAGTCCTGCTGCTCCAATTCACGCCGACGCTTTCGGGCCTGAGGTGCAGTGGCCACGGGCGCATCGACAGTGAATTTTGAAGAGCAACGGTACATACGCACGGATGCACACGCACACATACACACGTGCATATGTGCATACGCAACTACAAACACAAACGCACACTCACGCACACACATGCACATGTGCAGGCAAGTTAATACGCTTGCTGATGACTGCAAACATGTCACATTGCATGTGAAAAGACACGTATGCATGCCGACCTCCACTTGCTCGCGTTTTCTGTCTCGCTGCAAGGCCCGATGGGCTTGTTCGAGCCTGCGCTGCTCGTTCAATTGCTCCTCACGTGCTGCCCACACGCACAACAGACAGGCAGGCAGTCACGCACACATGAGGATGTCTACGTGAGAATGGTGTACGAACGAGTGCACGTGAGGAGGGGGCGAAGCAAAGCTGCTGTTGAGCAGGACAGCCATGCGATACGACAAATAAGACGGCACCTTTTCGTTCTTGGTGACGCCAGTATGTTTTCAAAGCAAACACGACCGCGGTAATGACAGCAGCACCCTGCGACAGCGCAATGGCATAGAGGTGCAAACGAAGGGTTAGTGCAGATGGGCAAGTATCACCGATGCATGTGTTTGTGTTTGTGCTTGTGTTTGTGCTTGTGTTTGTGTTTGTGAGTGAGTGGTTGAGATGGCCAAAAGTGTGCACACTCACGAGTGCGATGTTGATCACGGTGAGGCGATCCAGAGCGGCTTGGGTGGCGGCGTGGAACACATGCTTTGGGTCAGGCAGTGTTGCGCCTGCGACAGGGCACAGGGTGGGAGGAAGTAGGATGGGGAGGGGAAAGCAGGGTGGGAGGAAGCAGAGGGGAGCAGGGTGAGCGGCTCAACAAGCCCAATACCAGAGGTGCAAGCGGAGGTGCGAGCAGGGGTGCGAGTGGAAGTGCAAGCGTAGGTGCGAGCAGAGGTGCAAGCGGAGGTGCGAGCAGGGGTGTGTAGGTCGTACACACGAACACACACACACACAAACACACACATACACACACCGGTGTAAACGAGAAATGCGCCAACTGCAGCAAGCAACACGACGCCAATGGCAGAACCAATGGCGACAGTCTTGAAGAGCACGCGAACTCCGGCTCTTGTTGGATCGTTTTCATCCGTATCCTTGTTCTTCTTCTTCAGCTTCTCCTTCTTCTACCCTCATCAACCAACAAATCGTGATGAAGCACGACAAAGCAAGCAAGCAAAGCAGCTTTGAGTGTGATCATCATCAGCGACCACGAGCTGCGCCAAGTCATGTACCGTGTCGCAGCATGTGTTGTGCAATGTGCACTGACCTTTTTCTCTGCTGCGGCGGCTGTGGCAGCCCTCTTCTTCGCCAGCAGCTCCGTGGGTCGCTTCACAGCGACCCTGCGACCCCCAGCCCGCACAGCTGTTGTTGCTTTCGCTGTTGTCACCATCGTTGGCCTCGCAAAGGATTGGATGCACAATTAATAACGGATTGAAGCTCTTTCAGCTCTTACAATGCCATCTTAAATGCATTTAGGATTCGCTGTCCCAGCCTCAAATTTTCGGCGCTTGTGTATTTTTTGTGTGGCCAGACAACAAGCAAGCATCATGCTACCTTGTTCTTCTGCTTTGAGTGTGGCGGTGTTGGCTGCAGTGGCGGCTGTGGTGCTGTGTGGCGGCGGCGCTGCTGTGGATGGTGCCCGCATTGCCATGTTTGGCTTCCCTTCGGGGCCCAGCCACCACATGGTCTTCAGCAAGGTCGGCCAGGAGCTCAAGAGTCGCGGGCATGAGGTACGTACGGAACAGTAGCGGGAGGACAGTGATGGCATGTGTGCGAGAGTGTGTTAGGTCTGATGGTGATGCTGCAGTGGTGGGAGGCGCTGCTTTCCTTTTCCATGTGCTTCCCACACGTGAGAATGCACCCACACGTGTTCGTTTGTCTTTGTTCCTGACTTTCACACGCCGTGTGTGCGTGCGTAGATTGTGTTCATCAACACAAACCTTGATGGGAAGCATGGCAACCTGGACGGTTTTGAAGTGTACACTGTGGAGAGCGGCATGTCCACGGAAGAGACACACGCGCTGTTGCAGGACATGGCTCTCCTTGACCCGCTCTCAGGTTTGTCCCGCCTTGCGTGAACAAGAGAGAGAGTGTGTGTGTGTGTGTGAGAGAGTGTGCGCGCGCGCTTTTGTTTCTGTGCACGTGTGCTTGCTCTGTGTACACGTGAGCTGGTTTGTAGTGCGCGTGCCTTCCTGCTCCTCCCACGCCCTTGTGCTCTCGATGCATGCGGTCGCGCACGTTTGATCGAATGTACGAGTGTCTTCTCCTCAATGATTGTTGCACATCCTTGTGCGATTCCTCGCTTGCCACGCATTGCACTGGATGCTCGCAGGCTGGTTCAAGATCTTCGACGTGATTTCAAGAATGTGCACTGCCAAGGCCAACGACGCAGAGCTCCTCAAGCTCCTCAAGGGCTGTGATGCCGTCGTGGTCCGTTACGAGTACCCACACGTGTGCTCTGCATGTCGCATGGTCGTGTGAAACCCCTTCACTTCTACTGTGCCGTGACCAGAGCTCATGCGTCCGATGTTCTGCGTTGTGCCCTGTGCAGGTTGATCCCAACTACATGTGCTCCCAGATCATGGCAGAAGCAGCAGGGGTCCCAGTCAACGTCCACCTTTCCCCAACAAACTTCTTCGGTGTGTGTGTGTGTGCTTGTTTGGGGGTGGGGAGTGAGTGAGCGTGTATGTGAGTGAGCGTGTATGTGTGTGAGTGTGTATGTGTGTGTATGTGTGTGAGTGTGTGTGTGTGTGTGTGTGTGCGCATGTGTGTGTGCGAATGTGTGTGTGTGTGTGTGTGTGTGTGCACTGACGTACAACACCACATCCCACGTCCAAACCAGATCCGTTCATCAGCATCCAATACGGCGTGCCCATCCCGCTCGCCACTGTTCCCCACATGGGCACCAAGTACAGCCCCGAGATGACGTTTCCACAGCGGCTGCACAACGCCGTCATCTTTGCCATCGACTACTACATCAGGTGTCTGCCACGAGCATCAGCGGCATGGGATAGAACGTGTGCGTGTGTGTTCGTGTGTCTGCTTGTGCATGCGTGTGTTGTGTTTTGTGTGTGTGTGTGTGTGTGTGTGTGTGTGTGTGTGTGTGTGTGTGTGTGTGTGTGTGTGTGTGTGTGTGTGTGTGTGTGTGTGCATCCTCGCGCTCATGTGTGCACGTTCGTATCCATCCATGGCTCCATCTTCCGCTCCGCCTGCTTATGCCCATCACCCCTCCCTCTCCTGGACAACAGATGGTTCATCATTGAGCCAAAGGCCAACGAGTTCCGTGCTCAGCTCGGGCTCTCCGGGAGCTTCTTCAAGACCTTCCACAACGTGTGGTGGTGGTGGTGTTGTTGCTGTTGTTGTTGTCATCGGTGGTGGTGGTGGTAGTAGTGGGTGGATCGCGAATCGTACTTGGGGATTGGTGTCGCTTTCATTGCACGTGCCACGATGGCCATTGTGGCTCATTCCTCACACATAACACACACACACACACACAAATGCGAACAATACACTCACACACACACACACACAGGTGACTGACGTCATCTACCAGACAGACTTTGCGTTTGAGTTCCCGCGTCTCATCACGCCGAGCGTGCGGATGGTCGGTCCGATTCTCCCAGAGCCAGCCGTCCCGGTTCAGGACGCCAACATCCGTGACATCCTCGACAACGTGTGTGTGTGTTGTGTGTGTGTGCAACTGTGTGTGTGTGTGTGTGTGTGTGTGTGTGTGTGTGTGTGTGTGTGTGTGTGTGTGTGTGTGTGTGTGTGTGTGTGTGTGTGTGGGGGGTGTGGGTGTGGGTGTGTGTGTGTGCATGTGTGCGTGCGCGCGCGCGTGTGTGTGTGTGGCCTCTGGTCTAGTGGTGTGGACGGACTTGAGTGTATCAACCATCACAAATCATTTTATTTGAATGGTGCATGCGCCCATCCATGTTCCCTGCCTTGCACGTGCGTGACAGGCTGAGCACGGTGTTGTGCTGGTGTCGTTTGGCACCATCGCTCGCCTTGAGGACGATCAGGCAGAGATGCTCGCAAACGCCTTCGTACGTAGACCAGTGCTGCACATGCACCCACGATATCTGCTGTAACGGACATGCATGTGGCTGTGGTGTCTTCGCATATCATACTCCAACTGACATGCACACACACATGTGGACGTGATTGTTTTGCCTGTTCAGGGTAAGTTGAAGCAGAAGGTGATTTGGAAGTTCAACGGCAACCGGCCCAAGGTCGCCGACAACACCCTCGTACGTCGCGCTATCGTGCTCGTTTGCACGCATTCATTCAGTGATGTGTGCGTGTGCGTGTGTGTGTGTGTGTGTGTTTGTGGCTTGTTGACAAGTTCTCTGCATTCGTGTCTCGAATGACTGCCAACACACCTCATTCATCACATTCACTTACCCTCTCTACACTCCATATCAAAGCTTATCAAAGCTTGTCGACTGGGTTGAGCAGAACAACGTTCTCGGTACGTGTGTGTATGTGCGTGCGCGTGTGATTGGTTCAGCAACTTCAGTCTATCGCATTGAAATGAACGCAGCTCAACAGCTGCTTTGAAATGGCACATTGTTCACCCCTCAACCCATCCTCTAACCCGCCTGCCCCCTAATCCCCCCACCCCCGTGCCAGGCCACCCGAATGTGCGCGCTTTCGTTGCGCACGGCGGCGCCAACGGCATTTTGGAGGCTGCATACCACGGCGTGCCCCTCATTGGCTTCCCCCTCTTTGCTGACCAGGTCCGCTCGTGAACATTGTGC